CCTCTTTTTCTGGGCGACTGGCTTGGCTTTGGGGTCCACCGACAAACGGTGGCAGCAAACGTTTGGATTGATACCTGGCATGTCAGAGGGCTTCCATGCAAACAAATCTTTGTTTTCTTTGAGCAACTTGATTAACTTGCATTTCATCTCTGGGTCGATGGTGGCCCCGATGGTTGTTGTTTGATGATCTGCATCTCCTAAGACAACATGTTCCAACGCTCCATCAGGCGTGGGTCTGTCATGTTCCACGCGCGGATCGTCTCTAGCATCAAATTCTACCAAAAAACATTGGTCACGCTCTTTTGACTTCTCGCCGAGATTTCTTTCTGATGGCGACGTCGTCCCCTGCTTGAGCGCCCTTTCATCACTGAAGCTAGCTTTGGCCATTGGCCGTAAGGATATGTTGTAGCAGCTTCGGGCTATCGTCTGGTCTCCTCGCACTGTGGCGACTTTGTTGTCCCGGGCAACGAACTTCATTGCCAAGTGGGGGTGTGAAATGCTTGCCTCGAAGGCAGCAAACATCCTTCTACCAAGAATGACGTTGTAAGCTGATGGGGTGTCGAGCACCAAAAACTGGATGTCTGCGGATCGTGAGGTGGGCGGTGTTCCAAGGGAAAGCCGCAAGGTAATCACTCCCAGTGGCTTTGTGGTGGTAGCGTTGAAACCTGAGAGTTCACCTGTAACAGGAGTTAGACTATCAACAGTGAACCCTAACGCTTTAAAGCATGGTAAAAACAAAATATCGGCTGAGCTGCCGTGGTCAATAAAAACGCGATTAACGCCGAAGTTGGCGATTATAGCTTGAATGACGAGCGGATCGTCATGTCCTGGGAGGACATCGCCTAAATCACTGGCGTCCCAAACAATTTGAGGCCTTGTTGGACTAGGACTGTGCTTTTCTTTGCTGATCACTTTGCCAGCGACCGCCAGACACTGCTTCAAGTGTTTCTTTCTGGCGTTCGCAGTCTCTCCTCCTCCGCTCAGCCCGCCTGAAATCATGTTGATCACTCCGTGCTTCACCGCGGCTGAATCTTCGTCTACTTCATCACGCCTTCCTCTACGGTTTGGACTTGCTTGCGCTCTGTGATTCCTGGGGGAATCTTCTCTCCTGTCACGATTGTAGGAGGGTCTGGATCCGGGTTGACGCGTTCTCCTTCTTTCAGGCGATTTGTTGCGCTCTCGATATCGCCTCCCTGCTCCCGAAGGGCATGAGCCGTCTCCTCCTCGCCTCTGCGCTCCGCTTTTGATGAGTTCATCGATTTCGTCTTTGAGGTGCTTGCACTGGTCAGTGTTATGACCGTTGCTGCGATGGAACTTGCAGTACATGATGTTTTCCTTAGGCGGGTTCTGGGACTGTTGGGTGTTCTTGGATTCTTCCTTATACTCCGTTTGCAGGACGGCGTGTGTCTGACGACCTGATGTATCACGCCCGGGAGGGCGGTTTGAATATTTGGCTGGTTTATTTCCTTTCTTACTCTCTTCCATTTGGTTCTTTTGTTTACCGAGTGCCTTTTCTTGACCGTGGGCGTCCTCGACTCGACTTCCTTTGTACTCTTCGATTCGCATGTACTCCTGGGCCACCCTCTTGACTTCTTCCAGGTCAGTGATCTCGTGGCGGGCGAGCTCGTACGCGAACGCACCTTGCCGCAATCCCGAAAGAAGTATATGTACCTGTACTTTTGGGTCTAGGCCTTGCACTTGTAGGGCCTCCTTATCAAAGCGGTCTAAAAAGGACCTGAGGGACTCGCCTTGCTGTTGGCGTACTTTTTCTAGAGAGTGGACGGATTTCGGCACAGGGCGACTGGTTGCAAAGTGAGACTGAAACTTGCTCGCCAACTCATCCCATGAAGCGATACTACCAGTCGGTAGAGTAGTGTACCATGTTAAGGCTCGTCCCCCAAGTAGCGTGGGGAAGGTCCTGCACATGAGGAGGTCGGTTTCACCATGGAGAGTCATGGCCGCCTCGAACATCTGGATCCATTCAAAAGGATCGGCATCTCCGACATATGTGGTGATATTGGAGGGTCCTTTGAAACCAAGGGGTATGGGAGTTAACCGGAGGATATCAGTCAGGGGTTTGTTGCGCCCTGACGTATGAGCTGGCGTGACTCGTAGGTTGTTGTTTCGTGGGGGCCGGTCCATTTGCGGTTGAGGAGCTTCAACGGAGTAGGAGAGGGCTGGGGCGTGATTGAGAGGTTGTTGGGCGGCATATGGTTGCTGACCCTGGTTTTGATAGGACACTTGGTGTAGTGGAACGACCGGATTTTGGGGTTGGGCAGCGTAACCTTGGAAAGGAAAACCAGTTGGGTAAAGCTGAGGGAATGGGGCGTATGGTCCCATAGGGAACGGGGTGACCATCGGTGCTCGGTAATCGTGGTGCATGGCTACTGGTAGACTTTGGGCTGGTAGCGGACGATGGGCTCGTGGGACGGGAATGACTGGTGGGGCAAAAGTGTGAAGAGGCATTCCAAAACGAACTCCTGGTGGCGGGGGTTGGTCTTGTATCAAGTTTTCTCCTTGCATTTCACGCATAGGTGCGTGATAGTTCAACTGTGCTATCCTGGGTTCGACTGCTTGCATTTGCGGACCGACGGATTGTAGTACTGGCTGGAGCATCTCGCCGGGGGGTCTCTCGGCTGGGGCTGAATGCATCGATGGCGGGGAGTTTGAATGTATTGTTTGTACATGACCGTCAGGTGTAACAGCCCTGGTTTGTTCTGCTCTTCTGGTTGTGACGACCATGTTTGCTACCAAAACGTAAAACACGTCTTGTGGATCTTTGGTAGGAGAATGGGAATAGAAGTTTATAGTTTCCCACAGACGGCGCCAATGTGCCGTTAGGTTCTGTGAGCCCACTATGTACCCTATAGGGTAATGTTACTATATGGATTATACCACTAGGCGAGGTAAAGACCAGACTAGTAGGTATAGTTCCAAGAGGCAAGTAAGCTAGTAGTAATGGCAGATTAATAACAAGAGAATGACTTGGAAGTAAATGGGCATAACAACAGTACATAAAAGATCCCTCTAAGGTGTGCCCAGGAGGGCTATTTATAAGGGAAATAGAGCGGGTTGGTGAGGGAGAGGTCAACTCTCCTTGGGATTTACTTCCATGGTGCAGTGTTAGGCGTGCTGGCGCTGTCATTGTGGCAGTGCTGCGCCCTCTGCACTCTGGCGGTGTCAGCGCCGGGCAAAGGAGGAGTTTCCCTTTGTGGTTTCTGTCGTAGTCGCCTTCAACGGTTAGCGTTCCAAGATGGGACATTTTGGTGTATGCCTTGGGCCTGCTGCTACGTTGGGGGTTGAGGGGGTCCATGTCAGCCCTAAGGGCTGACGTGGGGCAAGGCTGAGGCTGGACTTGAGTGATTGGGCCAGCTGAGGGTTGGGCCTGTGTAGTTGGGCCGCTCCAGTATTTGGGCCATCCAGAACAGGTTGTACATTTTGTTTTTTTCTGGTCGTCATCCTCCTTCCTCACCCCAGTTGTTCTATTCGATAATTGTGAATTATAGCAGAGATGGTATAGTTTGAATAAGTTGTGTTAGTTGCCAGCCATCTTGTATATATATTCTCCGCTCAGAAACTTATAAGTATTTCCAAGAAACCACGTCATTTCTTCCCCCTCAGGCTTTATTCTCTCCGCCAGCAACACTGATTTCACATCTGTAATGCAAAGGTTCAATATATTCTTGTATAGTTTATATGGAGATTTTTTTTTTCAGTAAAATATTTTTCAATACATTTCTATTAAATATCTTCTTAGGTGTTCCAAAGGAACGGAAATTTGCTGTATTATTAAATGTTTACTATCTTAGTTATAAATTATAATATTTAAAATATTGTTCAACTGGAAGATATTGCTGAGTCATATAATTGAGGTAATATATATCATAATCAAGGTAATACATATTTAGTGGTACTTAAACAAGAAAATTTGTTGTTTTTGGCCCGTAGATAACAAATGGAACAAAATGAAATGGGAGTGGAACAGAAAATTTCTGTTTTGTTTTCCTTAATTCCATCTATTTTGGTATATTAAAGATGCATTACTCTTTTTAACTTAATATTCTGTCCCGTTCTGTTATCAAAATGCACCAAACACAAAATACAATCATTTTGGGGCGCAATAACATCCTCGTGGTCGAAATGCAGGTAGTTTTAAGTTGAGCTTGAGTCAATAATGAGTCAATAATAATGCTAGTAGAAATTTGGCGTTGGTAAAATCATTTCGGTAACACGATGTATGTTATTGGTACGTTGTAACTGTTTGTTACAGCCTTGATCTCGACCATCCTTGAATTTAGATGTAATCTGGATCCAGAGAAAAATATTTTTTGCTGCAGAAAAAATTGGTTTGTTCCTTCCACCCCGATACTGGAACTTGGGTCGTGAAAACAAAAGTTACCAAAGCACAATAAGAAGCAATCAGAATTTTGTTGTTTCTTCCCTTTATTAGAGGTCATGAATTCGAGACAGGTGTAAATGATCTTGAGTCACCCTCATATGGTACGACTATGCTTAAATAAAATTAAGTACTTAAACCAAATTAAGTCGGGTAATTTCAATTATTATTGATTGTTTTTTTTTTTGAATTCCAATAGAATCAGATAACCTGCCGTATCTTTAACAGGTTTACCAGACACATTTTAAGAATTTCGTAGTTAAGGTATTCCTTTGTTGTGGGATATTAGAAGTTAGAAATGGTATCTTATTGTCATTTAGGGGCACAATGACATTCTCTTCGTCGAAATGCAGGCAGTTTGAAGTTTAGTTTGAGCAAATAATAATGCTGTCATAGAATTTTAAATCAACCCCTGGGCGTTGGCAAAATGATTTCAGTAACTCAATGCGTGGTTTGGTATGTTGTAATTGTTTATTAGGCCTTGAACTTGATCACCCTGAATTTAGATGTATTCTGGATCATTTAGAAGCCACAGCCAATGAGTGAAGATGATGGAAATGAAGCCTAGTCAGTGTCTAAATGATTAGTTGGTTAGGAATATGAACTACAAAGTTTGATGATTGCGTATCTCTTGAAGAAGCAACGATCTCGCCTTGTTGACAGTGTGAAAGCAGAGGCATACATGCTCCTCAAGATCATCAAGCTGGCGTAGAAAATTCTGATGGCTCTTACATAGCTGCTTGAGAACCTCCATGATAGGGTACCTCTCTCTTCCCCTCTCCAAACCAAACCGAACCAGAAGCTTATCACCTTCCACCGCGGTGTGGAGCCGCTCAACGAGTCGATCAATCGTGTCAAGATCGTTGTTCAGCACATAAGCAACTTTAGCAGCAGCATCAAGCTGAGCCAGCCTGGCAACTTCTCTTCTTTCACTGTATGCACCACAAACAGGTGCTGCTGCAAAAGCAAGTGCAACAATGGCATGAACGGTTACAGCAACCGTCGCGGCAACCACTCCAACGGTCATGGCAACGAGGCAAACAGCAGAACCGGTGGTGGCGCACCGGAAATTGCGGATCCTTGATGAGGATTTCGCGAGACGGTTATCGAGTTGTTTTTTGAGGTCGGTTAAGGATGTTCTGATGTTGGTTAAGTTAGTTGAATCAGGGAAGGGGTTGTTATTGCTGTGGAACTCAAGGAAGATATCAAACGTGTGGTCATAGTGGGAATCAGTTATAATGTGGATAGAGTCTATGAGGTTGAAGAGTTCAAGTAGAGGAGCGTACATGGCACGTGCTTGTTTGACGCGTTGGTGAAGGTGTAGGCAGAGTTCGGAGGCGGTTTCGCTATGATTGAAGTAAGTGGAGATGAGGCGCGTGAGGGTGGTGTTTTCGGTGTTTGCAAGTGCTTCTTGAACGCATTCACGATCAGGGCTAAGAAGGTGAACTTCACCATGTGAATTAGGAAGACCTTGAATCTTGGAGCGTATCTCAGAGTAAGAGTTGGCTTGTACGGTGAGATTGAATTCACCAGATACATTTTGTGTTGTGGGAGTGTTCTCTGTGACATTGTCACAAACAGAAACAGATAGTTTATTAGGAAAGGGTAAATTTGTTCAACTAGAATCATAGATTGCAAAAAAAAAAAATTGAAGTTACCTTGGGAATGATTTGGAATTTGAGTGGATGCTGAGGATGAGGTGGATGATTTGAAGTAGAGGCAGTTCAGCATTCTAATTGATTGTGTGCCCTTGTTGTGTTGTGCCAGCGTCTCCAATTCAATCAAGAGTGCAGAAGAAGAAAGAAAGTAGGTGTGAGAGAGAGAGAGAGAGAGAGAGACGAAGAGAGGCTTTGTAAGCAAGCTGACATGGATAATATAAACAACAAAATTTATTCCAATGCCCAAATATATGTAACTTTATAAAGGTTCCTTAATAACTTTATAAAGAAATTAATGGTATACAAAATTCTATACAGGGAGGGATTTGGATTTTTGAGTCGTTGTAAGAATAAAAAGTTTATTTCATATATTAATAGTTAATTTCCATGTATTTAATGACCGTAATTTATTGAGTTATATTAATTAATTTTAAATAAATTATAACCATGAAGATTAAGACTTATAAATCTTATACCAGTCATAAATTATATCATATGTATCTTTTCTTTCGTCTCCGGTATAAAATTAAGAATCTCAACTATTGATTTCCTTCCTTCCATTTAATTGTTATAATTTAATTAAATGATATAACTTAATAAACTATCGTGATTAGATAGACTAAAACTGATAGCACAGGTTGGAAGTAAAACCTTTTAATTATATATATATATATATATATATATATATATATATATATATATATAGAGGAAGGTTATACTTACAAGTTACAATCTTTTTTTACAATCTCTTACAACTATATTTTAACATCGTTGATTTACGTCAATTAACGGTTATGATTTTCGCAAATCAACGATGTTAAGATATGATTGTAAGAGGTTGTAAAAAATAAGTTGTAAGTATAACCTTCGTTATATATATATATATATATATATATATATATATATATATATATATATATATATATGAGAAAAATATTTCTCAAGCAGTTTGAGATAAATTTATCTCCGGCCACTCCAAAATTACGTCGTTTTATTTATTTATTTTCTTATATTAATTGATTCATCTTTGAATTGTTATGATTTCTTTTTTCTCTCTCTTCCTTTATCATCATTGATCCATCTTTGTACGACTATGATTTAGTAGCCGGAGATAAAATTATCTTAAGCAGCTTGAGAAACGATAAGCCCTATATATATATATATATGGAGGGATTATATTTACAACCCAAATAGTTTACAAACTCTTACAATCATATCTTAACCCTTGATTTTCGCCAATCAACAGTTGTCATTTATTGTGAATTATTAAATAATTAATTTGCAAAAATCTAAACCGATGATTGACGGAAATCAACGATTAAGATATAGTTGTAAGAAGTTGTAAACGAAAATAGGTTGTAAGTATAACATTTCCCATATATATATATATATATATATATATATATATTGGGCTTAGTGAGTATCAAGTGACTTGATGTAAATTTGGTCCAGTGCACTATATTCTCTCGCGAGAATATAGTGCAAAAAATATTTGCACTATATTCTCCCGGGAGAACACCGAAGAACGCCATTGTAATATTTTTGCACTATATTCTCGCGGGAGAATATAGTGCAAATTCAGTCACTGGACAGAGAGAGAGGGAGAAAAATGTTTCTACAGTAATGTAGAAAAGTTATCTGTATTTACTTCCAAAACGAAGCCGTTTTTGGTTGAAAAAAAATTATAATAATAAAGTCTATTAAAATCTTGAAATAAATTAAAATTATAAAAATATCTTGATTTGCGCCCCAAAACAATATCGTTTTGGGCTCAATGCAGATAATTTATTGCATTTTTGCAAAAAAAAATGAACTCATATATATATAGTGATTGGGTTACCAAAGCTCAAATTTGAAAAAGATAAAGTTTGTGACGCTTGTCAAATGGGAAAACAAGTAAAGGCTTCTTTTAAATCAAAAAACATTGTTTCTACCACAAAGACTTTACAACTTTTACATATGGATCTTTTTGGACCAATTAGAACCATGAGCTTTGGTGGCAATCACTATTATTCCGCGAGAATATAGTGCAAAAATATTACAATGGTGTTCTTCGGTGTTCTCCCGGGAGAATATAGTGCACTGAACCAAATTTACATCAAGTCTAAGTCTATCATATAAATGTTATCCATTCTATGACCAAGAAACTTAACTTGCCCATCAATTAGACTTTCAATTTTACAAGAGGTCGAGTCAAAAATAATTTTATAATTTTTATCACATAATTGACTAATGCTAAGCAAGTTATGTCTAAGGCCCTCAACAAGCAAAACATTTTCTATAGAAACGGAGGAGGAGTTACCAACTTTTCCAATACCGAGGATCTTTCCTTTGTTGTTATCTCCATAGGAAACGTGTCCATGCTCTTTCTTGGTGAATGATTGGAACTTAGTTACATCTCCCGTCATGTGACTTGAGCAACTACTATCCAAGTACCACTTGGAGCTTTTAGTCTTCAAACAAACCTACATCACAAAGTCAAGATTTAATCTTAGGTACCCACACCATGTTGGGTCCTTGTGTGTTAGTTTTGGGCTTAGTTCCCTTAGGAACCCACACTTTCTTTTGCCCAACAATACCATTCTTTCTAACTTTACAAGTGGATGCACTATGACCTTTTCCACCACAATGAAAACATTTAATGAATGGGCTACTTGTCATGTAGGATGGTGAAATGAAGAAGTTTTTATATGATTTTTCTTGTGTGTTAGTGTCAAAGCCTAAACCGGATTTGTTGAACATGCATCTTTGTTTACCAAGCAACACATTTAAGTTGTCTCTTCCACATGTGAATTTGCTTAGAATTTCATTTAAATCATCAATTTCATTGTTTAGATCTTTGCATGAAGTACATGATGATGAAAAAGCATGATCATTTGAAGATAGGCATTTAATACAATCAATTCTAGCATCAAGTAATTTGAGAGTTTCATTTTCATCCTTCAACTCTTTTACTTCTTTTTCTAAAGATGCAATTTGTTTTTCCAAAGAATTAATAGTTTTCCTTGATGCTCTAAGAGATTTAACATGTATTAGTGTTTGATTATGCATTTCTTCAAACATGTCAGACAACTCATCATATGAAGGGGAAAGAGTAGAGCAAGATGAGTTTACCTCGGTTTCGGATTCATTTTTGTCCTCATTTGCCATTAGACATATATGTTGAGTTCCTTTGCTTGATTTCTCCGATGGTCTTCCATCTTGCATAAAGCATAGATTTGCTTCTTCCTTGGAATCATCATCGGAAGAACTAGATTCATCATCCCAAGCAAGATAAGCCTTCTTGAAGTTCCTTCTATCCTTGCCTTGCTTCTTTTCATATTTGTCTTTCTTTTGAATATTTGGACAATCCGATTTGTAGTGACCGGTTTTTCCACATTCAAAGCAAGTGATGGTAAGTTGTGAGGATCCTTCATCTTTAGATCTTCTTCTAGGAGGAAATGCGGGTTTCTTTGAAAAATTCTTCTTAAAGAATTTTCCATACTTCTTTACGAAGAGACTCATCTCATCTTCGTCAAGACCATTTTCGGAATCTCCATCTTCTTTTTCCTCATCCTTCTCTTTGCTTGGTGTTGAGGCTTTCAAGGCAAGTCTCTTGCTTTTCTTGATGGCTTGTTCCTTCAAGGTTATTCTAGTTAGCTCCATTTCATACTCTTGGAGCTTGTCGAACAAGGTTGCAAGATCCATGGTTTTCAAATCTTTTGATTCCGTAATAGCCGTCAGCTTGGGTTGCCATTCCCTATTGTGCATACTTCTCATCACCTTAGCAATTAACACAAGGTTAGTAAAAGATTTATCTAAAGCATTTAAATGAGTGACAAGGTGTGTGAATCTCTTTTGCATACTCTGAATACTTTCATTCTCATGAATTTCAAACATTTCAAATTCTCTAGTGAGAGCATTGAATTTTGTAAATTTAACATCACTCGTTCCTTCATGGGTTATTTGAAGAATATCCCACATTTCCTTAGCATTCTTACAATTTGAAACACGAAAGTATTCATCACGACCTAAGGCATTTGTGATCAAGTTTTGAGCTCTAGCATTCCAATTTCCTTTCTTAATTTCATCTTCAGTGTAATTTTCTATATCTTTAGGAATATCTTCATCCTTCTCATTTTTTATAGTAGGTGGTGTGTATCCTTTTTCAACTACACTCCATACTCTTAAATCATTAGATTGAAGAAATATTTTCATCCGACTCTTCCAATAAGAATAATCGACACCATTAAAAAATGGAGGTCTAGTACTAGAAGATCCCTCAAGGGGCATATCATGGTTCAAAGAAGTCATCCCTTCTCTTGAAGCGGTTAAGCTCTTTACACAAGAGTTCAAGCTCTGATACCACTTGTTGGACAGGTGGCTTCAATACTCAAGAGGGGGGGTGAATTGAGTTTTACAAAATCTTTTCGCAAAGTACCTCCTTTGATGTTTTAACGACTATTTCTTCAATAAAGTGATTTAATAAGGAAATGTCTAATTGTAAAAGCAAGTGTAATGATCAACAAAGTAAGCAAGCGAATGTATAAAGACAATCTAAGATGCAATTTTAATACTTAAATAAAGAGATTAAGGTTAGAGAAATTGCAAACTAGATGTATCCTGGTTCGGTCACTACCACCGTGACCTACGTCCAGACTGAAGCCGCTCGATCAATTCTTTTCACTAACTATCAAGCCTGAGGGTGCTTGACAAACCACTACAACTTTTCAAGACTTCGGGCTCTTGATGCCTTACACTTTTTCACTCCAAATTTTCTTAGGAATTGGGTAACCTCTCAAATATAGGGTTCACTCCCCTCTCAAATCAAGAAGTAGGATTGAGGTGATTGAAAGTGGCTAAGTACTCTCAAAGTACAGATTGAACAAATTGAAGAACTAAGAGATGTATAACTTCAAAGGAAAGATGAGCTAAAGTGTATGCAATGATCAAAATGAGTAATTAATGAGTAATAAAATGCTAGCAAGAGTAATAAAGCTTCAATAAATGTTATAGGGTCGTGTACTGTTCATCCCAACTGATGTGGGTATTTATAATGACACCTCCTATGAAAACTAGCCGTTTCTAGTCGTTTATAGCCGTTGTAATCCGTACATATCCGGATATTCATCGGGCTCATATCCGGATATTG